AGTGCTAATTTCCGATTTTCATTCTAGACAGGCCGTCTTACGCCACTCCAATAGACCGGAAAATTCTCACGCCTCATGTTATAAAATGGACATGATCTGCAGTGATGGGAGCTTTGGCCGATGATCAGATGAGCAGGCTTAAAATTTCGGATTCGTCGCCATATGTTCTTTGATGGACCGCTAATTAGCGCTCTCGAACAAGTCATTTCCTTACCTCCAGTCTTTCCTACAAATTCTTCTCAACAATTAATTGCTTTTCCCTGTGCGACTACCCAATTTTGTTCCATGCCCTCATCCCAAGACAAAACGAATCTATTCACCAGCTATGCGGCATCAATATATGTCATTCCTCGTGTCTGCATATTCTCTATTTCAGCCGATATGACAGGGACCCGCAGAACAGTGATGGGTGTGCAGATTGATGATCAGCAGCCTTGCGTCGAAGAGTTTCTTACGTTAGACTCTCCGGAAGTCCCTGCTGTAACTGATTGGCTAGTGGTAGCAGATATACCATAAACGAGGCATTCGGTGCCACTATTTATTTGGAAACGTTTTTGCTTCCCTATGCATTTCTTGGTCACAGAACGTACTAATTGGAAAAGATGTTTGCTTGTATAATTTATGATTTGGCAGCGAAAGAAGGCGCGGGTACAGTAGCATTGGTTTGGGAATGCGTGGTTTTCCTTCCATCTTACTTACTCACTAAAACCTGCCTGCTACATTCCTAACCGACAGCCTCTCCAGTCAAATACCTCCACGGTTACGGTTTCTTCCGTCTTGATCATGGCAAACAAGTCAAGCTAGAAAACTCGCAAATAACTAACCTTTTATATTCGGAAAATGCTGTTAATACGAGAAGTATAGAACACTTATTTGGTTGCATGTGTGCATCCTGTAGCATTTCATAGTAAGGAAGTTTAAACAGAAATTGGCTAAATGCGTTCAAGCAGGCGCAGTTGCTTGTTTGAAACTTAATAGAAACATCGTTTTAATTGGAAACGTTTGCCAAGAACGCTTCTCTGAAGGTCATCTAGTGTGCTTTGGCGGGCAGGTCAGCAAGGGCAGTTGAGGCATTTTCGTCGTTTTTAATCTATGCTTCCGAAAAAAAAACAGCTTGCACTTTATGCAAATGGCATTCTATGAGTCAGTTTTGCCTTTGAGCGTTTTTTATTCGTTTCCGGCTTACTTTGCTCAAAGGATGAGAAACGCGCAAAAAATACCTTTGAAACTGAATGAGGTGAGTAGGGAAAATACGTCACTCATAGTACCTGAAATGTGAGTTTGCGTGGAATTGTCAAGGCACCGCTTTCACTATCAACATGCCTTCCAAAATAAGTGGTTAGTAAGGTTATTAGTTTACCGACTGCCCTTATTGAATATTGGTTTTTACAGCGTAGAAAACTGCTTCGCCAACATTTTGTGCGAAGTAAATTAACCCATCATATTTAATTGAAAGTACACATGCACTAGGGCACAACATTCCCGGTCTTTATCGGTTTAATGTATAAATAGTTTTTCATTGCATTTCTTTATTATATCCAGACTGGCATAACAGTCATCATTAAACCTTACTTAAAGTTTATTTCCACTGGCATATCTCATGAAATACTTACTGAAATTCTCACGTTCGTTTTCCATTAGAAAGGACTAACAAAATAGGGTTGTAATAACGATTATCATGCGGCGTCGTTCTAAGATATTTCAGTCTTACCAGGATACCGACTATTGAATGCATTGCTTGCTCGGCCGCCTGCAAAAATCGCCATAGGTAAAAACTAGCCACTCCAGCATATTTCGATCGATTTTGGATCGCCCTATGAAAATTGGAGCTCTCGGTCCATATACAGTCCTGCGACACTTCCACTGTCCTCCTCGAAAAGGTCTAAGAGATCCTTCCTAGTTGGAATTAAAATGAAGGATTTTTAGTCATGCAAATAAATAGTAAAACCTAGGCGAGCACAACTCCATTAAAAGCGGGTATTTGGAGGGCATATGCACATGTTCCTATCCTATTCTGCATGATAGACTGAAATCACTTCAAGCAGATTTAGTCTAAAAATGTATTCATACCTCCAAATTCGTACCAAAGTGTCGCTGAGACCTAGGCAATGACTGTTCTAACGGCAGGCTGCGGAACTGCACTTCTGTCACGTATAGTTGACGATCGTGAATTCCTATAAATGAAACAATAAATCGGGCGACGTTTAGGCTTTAATATTACGTTTTTACTTAACTTTCTTAAAAGTCACTCAGAAATGAACTCTCTTATGGTGTTAGACCTGGGCATTAGGCGTTCGCTAAATTCTAAAACAACTACTTATGGGAGCATGAGCATTCTACCTTCGGCCTTCTTAAAGTTATATGCTTGCGGTATTGTGGGCTTAGATACATTAAAAGACGTACAGCCAGTCGTTTGTTAAGTTTGTCTGCTTGTTTTCCGTCTCATCTACCATGAATGGACGTACAGTGATTTAATAAGGTCGTTGGTCGAGGATTAATAGACTCGGGTGTAAACATTGAGTGGGCCCGCATGAGATTAGCGGAATATTTGAGCGAGTGCGCATTGTAACCGGAAATGTTCACTTCGCTTCTCGTCATTTTCACCACAGGTGCCTGACCGTTAATTGTTATCCACAGTGCAGTCACCCGCTGCCATCCTGCGGTCGCGACGGGTTGACAAACGCTAATCCTAAGTGACTCGAAAGCTTGCTGTGTGGAACCTTTAACTCATCCTCTTTATTGCTATCCAAAACGCCACAAATTACAACCCTTTTTTTAAAAAAAAGCAGGATGTTTTATTTCCGATGTAGGTTTCGTGAAAATTATTTTTATGATGACTGCGGGTGATTGGCATGATACATAGATGTTTTGGCATGCACGTAGGCGTAAAGTTGTCAAATGTCACTTAAGCGAGCGCTAAAGACAGAACCGTCAATCCCAGACTATGAAAATCAGGATAAGACCAGAGTTATGAAAGAATTAATAATCAAAAGTCAAACGACCTGACAATCCCACTCATGCCTAGCGCGTCGCGTCGAGTTGTGTTCATTCCATTCAGTTAAATAACCAGTAAGTTCAAGAATGAGGAACAGGTAGGGAAAGGCAAGATAGTCTGGCGCCTCGGCACAGTACCCCCCTCCGAGACCGGAGGCCGGCGAAAACGACGCCGAAGGATGTGTACAGGTCTAAAAGTAGTGCGTGACCAATCGACCAGGAAAGTGTACATGGCGACCACTGCGAGTGATATATGCAGGGTCCGTAGAAGAGTGAATACGTCTGGTAGCGGAAGTGTTGGAGTTGGTGGTGGCAGTCGAAGGTAGCGGACAGGAAGGCAGAGGGAAAATACGGGACTGTGGAATAGAGGCTGCATGGGGGAAGCAGAAGGTTGAGGACCACAGGGCTCATCCGGAGGAGTGTCAGGGACGGCAGCCTTGAGGCGGTCCACACTCACGACCTCCTCGCGAGTGCCGCGTTGGATGCGGAAGTTTTTCGTCCCACGAGAGATAACTCGGAAGGGGCCATCGTAGGGTGGTTCCAGGGGTCGGCGGACTCGATCACATTGAAGGTAGACGTGAGAGCACGTTGCCAAGTCCTTCTCGAGATAAGACGGAGAGGCGGAGGACCTGGGCGGAACCGGAGAAAGTGTCCGCATAAACTGCCGGAGGCGATGCAGGAGGTTGGTAGGATCCTCAACTGCACCTTGAGGGGTTGGCGAGATCATCTCACCCGGGAGTCGGACGGTGGAGCCGAACACCAGTTCAGCTGCGGAACAATCAAGGTCCAGCTTCAGAGCGGAGCGGATGCCCAAGAGGACCAGGAGATGGTGGTCCGTCCAGTTCTCCGGATCGGCCGCTGCGCGTAGGGAGGCCTTCAGCTGGCGGTGAAACCGCTCGATCATCCCGTTAGCAGTCGGGTGATAGGCTGTCGTCCGGATGCGGGTACAGCCTAAAAAGGAGGGTAAAGACTGGAAGAGGTTAGACTCAAATTGGGCACCACGGTCAGTCCTGATTGTGGAGGGTGCACGAAAGATAGCATCCCGACGACTGAGAAAAGCCTTGACCACCGTTGGAGCAGCAATGTCAGGCAGGGGAATTGCTTCAGACCACCGAGCGAACCGACCAAAACAGGTGAGGAGATAAGAACAACCATTGGACATAGGCAGGGGGCCTACAATGTCCAGGTAAATGTGGCTGAACCTTGAACCAGGACCAGGGAAGGTGCCAATGGGGGCCTTGTTGTGCCGCTGGATCTTACTCCGTTGACAGGGGATACAACCCCGTGTCCATGCTTTCAGGTCTTTGTGCATCCCAGGCCAGACGAAGCGGTCGGAAACCAGCTTGTCGGTTGCTCGACTCCCAGGGTGAGAGAGATTGTGCAGGGAGGAGAAAACTTTACGTCGGAGGGATGGTCGCACAAATAAACGATGGGATGGGGTGGATACGTCGCATAGAATAGTGCTGTTGCCAGTTGTCAGTGGTAGCTCCTGAAGATGGAGTCCGGAAACATCCCCATCACAGGGTGGACCGACACGGCGTTGTTCAGCGGCCATCTCAGCGAGGTCTATCCCGGGTGAAAGCTGAAGATGAGCAATAGAGGGCCTGGAGAATGCGTCAGCCACCTCATTCCGTGACCCGTCAATATGGCGGATGTCTAAAGTGAACTACGAAATGTAGTCCAGGTGACGGATCTCCCCGGGGCTTAGCTTGTCAGAGTGGGAATGCGTTGCAAACGTGAGTGGCTTATGATCAGTGAAAATTGTGAACTCTCGGCCTTCGAGTAAAGGCCCGAAGGGCCTTACGGCAAGATAAGCAGCGAGAAGTTCACGTCCGAATGTGCTATAGCGGGTTTCGGCCTTGGATAGTTTCCTAGAGAAGAAAGCCAAAGGCACAGTAGAATCTGGCAGACTTTGTTGAAGAACCGCGCCAACAGCAACATTGGAGTCATCGACCATCAGAGATATGGGTGCATCAGCATGGAAGTGAGTCAGGAGGGTGGCGTCAGCCAGAGGGCTTTTACCTGCTCAAATGACGTGAGTGCTGCTGGTGTAAGTTCAAAGGTGCGCTTAGAACCCGAGAGGAGACTGGCCAGAGGAAGGATGGTATCGGCACAGTTCGGGAGAAACCGGCGATAAAAGTTCCCCATACCAAGAAACCGTTGCAACTGACGCTTCGAGGTAGAGGGTGGAAAGTCCCGAATGGCGGCAACCTTTGAGGGAAGAGGCCGAATGCCGTTTGAGTCTATCAGGTGACCTAAGAACTCAAAAGAAGTGACTCCTAGGACACATTTGGCAGGATGCAGGGTGACATCAAACTGCTGAAATCGGTCGAAAAGCAGGGTAAGGTGTTGGAGATGTTCCTCGGCATCTCGACTGGCGACGATAACATCATCAATATACACATAAACAAATGGAAGGCCGCGTAAAACACGGTCAATGAAACGTTGGAAAGTTTGTGAGGCATTTCGGAGACCAAATGGCATATGAAGGAACTCAAACAAGCCAAAAGGAGTCGTCACTGCCGTTTTGGGAATGTCCTCAGCCGCAATCGGAATTTGATGAAAAGCCCGCAACAAATCGATCTTCGAGAAAACGGTTTTGCCGAAAAGGGCTCCAGCAAAGTCCTGAAGATGAGGAACGGGGTACCGATCGGGCATAGTGATATTGTTTAGGGCTCTATAATCGCCACAAGGACGCCAATCATCCGTATTTGGTTTAGGAACCATGTGCAAAGGAGATGCCCAGGGACTGTCAGACTGTCGAATAATCCCTAGTTGCAGCATGTGGTCAAATTCTGCTTTAGCAGCCGCAAGACACGCGGGAGCAAGACGGCGGGGACGAGAGAAAACGGGAGGACCAGTCGTTTTTATGTGATGAACAATATCATGGGGAAATGAGGTGTCAGAAAAATGGGGCTTAATGAGGGTAGGATACTTTGCTAAAAGTCTACAAAATGGACAGTCAGGGTTTGGGTCAAGGACGGAGAGCTGGTTAGAAGCTGAGGATGGAGGAAATCCTTTGACGGTGAGGGTAGTTGCGCGATCATGGAGGCGAAAATGTCTGCAATCCACCAGAAGGTCAAAGGCGGCCAAAAAATCAGCACCAAGGATAGCGGTGGGAACATCAGCAACCACAAATATCCAGGGGAATAATCGCCGGAGACCAATATCCGGGGAGAGGGATCGAAATCTAAAGGTTGTAATAGGGGATGAGTTTACGGCTTGAAGGTAAAGACCATGGTTTGGGCAACGTCAGTCGGCTGGCGTGGGAGGGATAACACTAATCTGAGCGCCAGTGTCGACTAAAAAATGCCTGCCACTCGTGTTATCACTCACGTAAAATGTGCGACCCGTAGAGTTGCCAGAGAGCTCGGCCGCATTTACTCTCCGGCCGAGGAGTTTCCCTGCGTGGACTTGAAGGAGCAGGGTGGAACACAGCGCCGCGCCTAGTCGCCATGGTTGACGTCATACCAACATAGGTTGGCGGTCCTGGGGCGAGAGCGGGAACGACGACGGTCACGGCCGAAGGAACGTCGAGAGGGACCGGGGGATCGGCGCAGCTGCAAAGCGGCAACAGTCGCTGACAACTGGGCAATCTGTGTCTTTAGTTCAGCCAGGTCAGAGGTGGACACGTTGAGAGGCTGGGACACCTGAGCAATCGTCGGGAATGACAAACGCTCAACCTCCATCATACGGTCAGCCATCTCCGCTAACTTTGATATTTCTAGGTCGTCGGAGCCAGAGGCCAAGGTTGTTTGTACAGACGTCGGCAGACGTTCTAAGAACATCTCTTTAAAGAACTTGTCGTCGATTTTCATGTCCCCAACCAGAGAACGCATGCGACGCAAGAGTTCCGACGGCTTGCGATCACCTAAGGCCTCCTCTTTTACTAGTACGTGATAACGCTACCGATCGGAGACTGATGTCAGGCGAAGACGTTCAGCCTTTAACTTGGTGTGGGGAGCATCAGTCGGGGGATTTCTCAGAAGCTTCTGCACTTGAGAAAGAATGGTGGGAGGGAGAGCCTCGAGCAGCTTATAAAACTTGTCGGTTTCACGTTTTATCTTGGCGGACTAATAAGTCGCCTCAATACGGAAAAAATAAAGCTCTGGCGCATGTTGCCAAAAGTCTGGGAGTGAAGAAACAAGTCCACTGAGAGAAGAAGTGGGATCGTTGGAATTCGTAGAGGTCATGATTGTAGATATAAAGAAGGCAAACGGGCGGTATGCAAATAGAAAGTCCACAAATTAAAGGTACAAGCGTGAATGTCAAAGGGTCACCACTGTAGCGAGCGCTAAAGACAGAATCGTCAATCCCAGACTATGAAAATCAGGATAAGACCAGAGTTATGAAAGAATTAATAATCAAAAGTCAAACGACCTGACAATCCCACTCATGCCTAGCCCGTCGCGTCGAGTTGTGTTCATTCCATTCAGTTAAACAACCAGTAAGTTCAAGAATGAGGAACAGGTAGGGAAAGGCAAGATAGTCTGGCGCCTCGGCACAGAACTACTTGTAGGCTAATGTGCATTGAAGAGTCCAGTGTAATTCATCGATTCGACAGAAGTCAGCAAACTGTCTGGAAGGTTCAATTATTTTTACGGCGGAAAGTAAAATTAAACGAATATTTTCTGACATTCACTACATTAACCGGAAAAATCTAAGAATTAAGCAGTTGTATTCAAGGCCTAACAAAACGACTATAGGTCGTTTGGTGGAATATTACGTTATTTGATAAAAAGGTTTCCTATAGAGTTCGATATTGCTGCTAAACTACTATGAAAATAACCTCGTAGTCCTGACAGCTAACTGTAACTATTGTATTTTCACATAAAAATTGACAGTTCAGAAATATCAAGGCAAAACGAGTGGGCTGGTTGTTACAGAGGAAGCCTGAGTTGTTCAAAGTCTAAGTGGCTGGTCGGCGTAAATCGGAGGCAATATTGTGTGAATATCGCAAAAGGACTACGCATTTCCGACGCAATGCGGCACGAGTGTCAGTTGAGTAAGACTTTGTTAATTAAGAAATAAGTGTATGTATTCCAGTCAGTGGAAATAAATAGAAGCGGTTATGTCCTATAATCAGCCAAGCCTAATAAAAAGACGGTTTTCTTTTGGTTTCAAGAATTTTGTTTCACGTGTATAACAGTAGTAGATGGACCTTTAAAGTATACCCTATAGCTGAGAAGGAGAGGTATTAAAGCCGAAATGTCTTTCTAACTGCTTTATTCAATTTGCCATTTTGGAGAGACTTTGCTCCCTGCTGGTATCTGGCGAAAAAGTCCCTTGGTTATAGCTAATTTGAAAAACTTTGAATTTCGCCCTTGTGGAAATTAAACTCTTAAATCGGTACTTGGCCAGAATGCACTTTTTTCCCTTCGATTTACCATAAAAAACTGTGAATTCCAAGGCGAAGATTTTGCATGTTTTAAAATCTGTTTTATGATAACGAGCCCGTGGCTCAGTGGGTAGAGCCGTGGGACTTCTAACCAACAGGTCGGAGATCGAGCCCTGGGTGTTCCACACTTCCGAGTTTGGTATGACTGGTTAACGGCGGCTAACAAACCAGAAATGGCTATTCCAGCCTCCCTTGTCTTTGTCGGCAATGTCATCCTGTTCTGTGATATTTTAACAATTCTTTTCTAAAGTCCTTATTTTCCTGCGTAAAGATAAAATTGTCCAGTTACCCAGTATTTGGGATTTTTTACCATACTGAAAATAGCCTAGTAATGGAAAATATCCCACACTTGCATTCCAGCCTAACAGGTTTTGAAATGTGTCTAATAATCAGGACAAAACAGTAACTATTAAAAAGCGCTGTATGCTATGTAACATTGGAAAGAAAGTTGGAAATAATACGCAAAACAATAAAAAAGCCCTCAGTGTACCAAATGAGGCACGCCTTCCTGTTTCTGTTGCTGAAATCGATTGGCTTAGCACCAAAATCACGGTTTTTTTGAGCTGCAAACGACAGTGTTTCCCGGATATTCCTTCCACACTTTAGTCTGCATAAGACGGATGATGCAGCTTATTCTTTACCTAAGGACAATTCACTCTACCCTATTAGAAAGAATCTTATTAAAAATCCCCGCACCTAAAACAGGGCAGCAAGCAATTTTTGCAGTTTTATCTACTTGCTTAAACCAGGAAATTCAATTACTGCCTCTCTCCTGATTTGCAACCTCACTTGCAGTACTTTGGCATTAACTTATCAAAGATCAGTGAAATTGTCCATCAGCTTATGAACTGACATCTAGTGAGAGGCAGTCATTTTATGGTAGGAAGTTATACGTCATTAAATGGCAGTTACTGGCATAAAATAGACAAGCCGCAGCATGTATAAAATTGGAAAAATCTAAAAACATAAAACTCTAATTAACTGACTTTCGCGTGCTCAAATTAACGATTTTACTGTCTGTTCGCTTCTTGTTCTTAAATTTTAGGTCTCCTGGAACATTTTACGAAAGGTACCTTCTTTGGTTTTGGGGAGCTTCCTAAACATCTTTGGGTCTCGCAACCAGTTATGTAGGTTCATAAATTAGATTGTTCAGATTCTCACCTGAGCAGATGTAAATGCACTAACATGATGATAAAAGGACGCAGATACTACGGTTTCTGTCTTGTACTTTGTGAATATCTGTACTAAACATGAGAATAATGAGCGGCCTGAATACTCTTGCAAACTTCCAAATTTCCCATAGTCAATAAGTTCTTTACCGGAAAACTTCCTCGTTTGAAGCATTGATTTCAAAAAACTTGCTGCAGACGCGGCAGTTTTCTTGCATTTGGTCTGCAAAATACGGTTGTGCCTATACAGCCATAAGAGATAAATGGACCAGAAACATGAGAAAATTAGTAATTGGCTCTAAATTTCGACCACAGAGGTTAATGCAGGGACGTCTACTCAAGTTCCGTATACTACCGTGCATCTGCTAACTTACAGCTCTGTCCTTTTATAATACCTACTGCTGCCTTGCTTGAGTATTTTACAGCCATAAGGAGCACCGCAACATGTTGAAAAAGCTCTTATGAGTTTGGACGGACACAATATTAGCCAAGCATTCCGAAACTCAACAAGCAAGCAGAGTCGAATCTGGATGAGTTGTCTAGACTTGTAGACTTTATGACGAGTTTTTATAGCAGCGGTCTGCATCCGCGTCGTCTAGAATTCTGCGATCACACCCGCGGTCTTTTTTCCGACGCGCAGCCAGTAAAGATCTAGGTAGCGTCACCACTGCTGAGCACTGGCGATTTTAAATCGCATGTCGACAGAAATCACTTTACACATTCAGAGAATTGTAAACGAGGAGCAATATACAGGGTGATATCGAAATAAAACCGTATTTGAGTCTGCATATTTCCCTGTTTAATAGATGGGTAGATGCTTCTGGCAGTGCATTTGCGAAGTTGAAACTACCAATCACCCTACGCTGACATCTGTTTAATAACTGTACTTTCTGGAGCTGGAGTCAGCTCCGCAATAAAGGTGATTTGACGATGTTGTCAATTTTTCTCCACCCACAAGACAGCCTTTGAGTCGCTTTTCAGTTTAAACTTGAGTGCAATCCTTAATGCCCATTTGACTGTGATCGAGCATTGTATGTTGGTGGTGTTATCCAAATAAGTTTCTTCCACAACTTTACATTGTACTAAATAAAATTTAACAGACAGTGACAAAATATTAAGGAGTTTTCAACAAGTGAACCATCTTGCATACCGTCTAAGAATAAGTCCGTCTGTAAAATTGCGCTTCGTTAGGAATAGTGAATGTTGAAAGCAAGCTGAAAACCGAATCGTGGCATGATCCCAATAAAACTTGTGTAAAATAAAGGGCGCGAGTGTGACTTATCGGAACTAAAGAGAGTCCAGTTGAAAAAGTATGAGGAGTAAATTTTCAGGCGATTGCTTTTTTTACTTACTGTGGTCAGTTGTTGTGCGTTTTAAACAAATAGAACAAATGTTATTATGGTAAATAAATTCTAATGTACTAACTGAAAAGCATTACCGGAAAAAAAACAAAAAAACAAAAACAGGAAAACACATGGATAACTGAGTATCTTTTTCTCATTATGAGGTGTAATCAATCGGGCGGATCGGGATATCATAGGTAACAGAAATTTACTGTGTATACGCCTTGGATCAGATATCCTTTCATCGTTATATCACTCCTTAAAAGGCGTTCCAACACCTGGAGCTGTCTATGGGACGTCGCTTTCAAAAAATTAAATACAAAATATGTGTACGTTTGTTTAAGTCTTCATAGATAGTTGAACAGAGATTCATCGACTTTTCTTCATTATAAATCATCAGTATTGATTTCGGTGTGCATGCGTCAACCGGTGCTATAGATCAGCGTTGTGAATCTGCGTTGTACAGATGCAAGCTCTATGTCTTTCTAGCTAAATGCTGCTTCATTCTCAGTTTATTCCATTTGCTACCCAGATGACAAAGATAGGAGGATTTTACAATTTGCCTCTTCCAAAGCATATAAGGCTCTCACATGTTACGTTGATGTCAAAGTTGTTCAATAAAACGCTAACGGTTTCCAAAAATCTAATTAGAGCGAATAGTAAGGAATCACAACGCTAAAGTCTGGCCTAACATGGTACTGGAAGCGTCATTAATTGAAAGTGAAAAAGAGGTTTCATCACCTGCAGTAAATACAATTTTCAATTAACTCAAAGCGAACAGAGGTACTTAGTCGGGTATTTCGTTGTCTACTCACTAGCCTATAAAAAAGCCCACTTTAAGGGAGTTCGTCCAGGCCATTCCAGGTAAACAAGTTTACAATGACAATGTATTTGCTTTCCATGACGTCCTTAACACTTGGCTAATAATT